AGGGAGAGGGGGCCGGGGAGAGCCTGTTTGAGCCAAAACGGCCGCGGCGGGGCGGTCGTCGACGTCGCTGTCGCCGTCGTCGCCCGCGGCGGCGGCGGCGGCAGCGGCGGCGACGGCAGCTCCGGCGGCGGTCCTGCTGCCCTCCTGCTCCCTCTGCTCTTCCTTCTGCTCTTGCCGTCTCTCTTCCTGCTCCCTCTTGCTCTTCTGTTCCTTCGTCCCCTCCCCTCGCCTCTCCGCCCTTCTCTCGCTCTCCCGCTCCCTGCCTCCCCCGCGTCCCTCCTGCCGCTCCGTGCCCCTCCTGCTGCCCCCCCCTGCTCCCTCCTGTTCCCGCCCGCCGCCTCCCCACCGTGTTCGCTTCCTCCCTCCTCCTTCTTGCGTCCCGTCGTCGTCGTCGTCGTCGTCGTCGTCGTCGCCGCCGCCGCCGCCGTTTCCTGCTGCTCGCCCCCCCACCTCCTCCTCTTCTCTGCTGCTCGTTCTCTGCTCCTCTTTCCCTCTTCCTTCTGTTTTCTCTCCCCTCGTCTCCTCCTTTTGTCGTCCTCTGCTCTCTCTCCTTGCCTCCCTCCCTCCCTCCCCCCTCCCTCCCTCCCTCCCTCCCTCCCGCCCTTCCCTCCCCTCTGTCCCCCCTTTCCACCATCCCCCCCTCCCCCTCCCTCGCTCGCTCGCTCGCTTCCTCCCTGCTCCCTCCCTCCCTCCCTGCTCCCTCCCTCCTTCTGCCTCCCTGCTGCCCCTCCCCGTGCTGCCCCCTGCTCCCTCCTCTGTCTCCCTCCTTGCGGGTGCCTCCCAGGCCTCCCTCCCACATCTATCCTTCCCAGGCCCTCCTCCTAGGCCTCCCTCCAAGGCCTCCCTCCCGCATCCCTCCCTCCCAGGCCTCGCCCCCAGGCCTCCTTCCCAGGCCTCCCTCCCGCATCGCTCCCTCCCAGGCCTCCCTCCCAGGCTCTTCCTCCAGGCCGCCCTCCCACATCCCTCCTTCCCAGGCCTCCCTCCCAGGCCTCCCTCCCAGGCCTCCCTCCCGCATCCCTCCCTCCGAGGCCTGCCTCCCAGGCCTCCCTCCCAGGCCTCCCTTCCACATGCATTCTCCCAGGCCTCTCTCCCAGGGCTCCCTACATCCCTCCCAGGCCTCCCTCATGCCTCTCCTCGCATCCCTCCCTCTGAGGCCTCCCTCCCAGGCCTCCCTCCCATCCCACATCCCCCTTCCAGGCCTCGCTCCCAGGCCTGCGTCGACAAACATGCACCAGAACTCTCTAGGTCACCCATAGATCGATATAAATTAGAAAAAAAATCATCCGACACAAAAAATAAAAATTGTACAAATCGATATTTTTCATTGATTTTGAAAATTCTAATCAATTTGGGCACTATCGAGGCTCCCATTCGATGTCTCGCATGTCGCTACTTCGATTGGAATGTACCTGGCATGCATAGCATGCACTCAGCTCGAGTTATCATCGAAACACCGTTCGCAACACGCATACATAGAGACAGTATTTCGAGCATAACTCCTGACTCAGCCATTTCTAGGAACTCTCGAGCTTCCAGTGTGACGCGCCAGATCATTCTGCATCGACTGGTGTGCGTGAGAGGTCTGTAGCTTGCTGACAGCTCGAGTTAAGTAAAGCCAACCACCGTCACCTGCCAAACTGCACTGCAGGCAAAGTCGGTTCCTGCAAGTCTTTTGACAGTAATATTGCCCCTAGAGCCCTGAAAATTTTACCAGCAGGTGCGCCATAGCTTACTGTATGTGAGAAAAATCCGTTTTTGAAAACGAATTGTCAAATCTTGCACAAAGTTTCAAAAACCGACCCCAGGTTAACACATTGTCTCTTTTGGTCGGGTCGGCCAACTAGCTCCACCCTGCGCCCGAATTCCTCTTAGCTCATCTCGTCGAAGAGCTCTACGAGGTACTGTTATTGTCCACTTGTAAGCGTCCAAAACCCGGATAGCGAAGCCATGGGAACCGGCGGTAAACCGTCAACCAGATTACCGCCGGGACCCTCGTAGAGCTCTTTTCTCACACAGCGATCCTCAGAACACAGGAAGGAAGCTTCTGGAGCGAGTAACGACAAAATCGAAAAATCGCGTTTTTCTGTTTCTATCCAAGGTCGGTTCCTCCAAGTGTTTTGATAGTAATACTGTAGCTACGGACCTGAAAAGTTTACTGCCAGACGCGCGATAACCCACTACAGGTGCGAAAAATCTGCTTTCTCAAAAGAAATGGTCAAATATCTTTCAAGTATTCGCAAAACTACCCAAAACTGGGCGCCGGCGGTAAACCGTCAACCTTTGTTACCGCCGGGGGACTCGTAGAGCTTCCTGACAACATATAAAGTCAAAGAAAATTGCAGAGAACGAATAGTTTTTCAGCCCAACTCGAGTATCAGACCGAGTTCGGACCTCTGAATGCAAACAGAGGCGTCTGATATCTCCGAATCGATTCCTGTGATACCCGCCCTGCAGCCCCCCTACAGCCCGAGCTAAGTGCAGAACGCCGAGAGTAGCTCTCAAGATGACTGGAAGAATACGAGCAGTTTCGTGATTCTAGATCGCGCAGCAGACCGAGTTCAGACCTGTGGATTCAACAGGCGAACGCGCCTGATTATTCTGAGTGCGATAGCTGTGCTTACCAGCACTGTAGCTGCCCTACAGCTCGATTTAAGTAGAAAATAACGACACCGCGTATCAAGTTGACTCGAATAATACGAATAGGTTTCCGGACCTAGCTCGGCTAGCAGACCGAGTTGCTCTACAGCTCGAGTTAAGTAGAAAATACCGACAACGCGTATCAAGTTAAGTCGAATAATACGAATAGGTTTGCGGACCTAGCTCGGCTAGCAGACCGAGTTCAGACCTAGGAATTCAACAGACGACCGCGCCTGATCATTCGCCGTGCGATAGGCGTGCTCACCAGCACTGTAGCTGTCCTACAGCTCGAGTTAAGTAGAAAATACCGACAACGCGTATCAAGTTGACTCGAATAATACGAATAGGTTTGCAGACCTAGCTCGGCTAGCAGACCGAGTTCAGACCTATGGATTCGACAGGCGAACGCGCCATATGATTCTGAGTGCGATAGCTGTGCTTACCAGCACTGTAGCTGCCCTACAGCTCGAGTTAAGTAGGGAATACCGACAACGCGCATCAAGTTGACTTGAATAATACGAATAGATTGGCGAACCTAGCTCGGCTAGAAGACCGAGTTCAGACCTCTGGCTTCAACAGCCGAACGCGCCTGATGATTCTGAGTGCGATAGCTGTGCTCACAAGCTCTGTAGCTGCCCTACAGCTCGGGTTAAGTACAAAATACCGACAGCGCATATCAACATGACTCGAAACAGCCGTTCCAGAGTGCTTTTTGGCCTTCAAAGTTACCCGATCGAGCTGAGATCAAGATGGCGAGCGGGAAGAAGATCGAATATCACGGGAAAAAATACTAGAGCTCTGACGAATTATCAAATTTCGAGAACAAAATTTTCAACCGACCAAAAGTCAGCAAAAGGTCCGTCGAGATTTTTCGAGCCAACTAGCGCCGGAATTACTCTTAGCTTCCAGCTATAACTAGCTAAGGGAAGCTCTACGAGTTACTTCCGTCGAGATTTTTCTTGCCAACTAGCTCTTCAGCGCGCCGGAATTACTCTTAGCTTCCAGCTAGAACTAGCTAAGGGAAGCTCTACGAGTTAATTGCAAAACCACCCCAAAGTTCCCACATTGTCCTTTCTGGTCGGGTCGACCATCTAGCTCCATCCCGCGCCGGAACTGGGCGCCCGGTAAACCGTCAACCTTGGTTACCGCCGGGGACTCGTAGAGCTTCCTACCTTGATGTTAGTTGAGAAAATCGCGCATCCAACATTCCGACTTATAGTGAATATTTGTTGACCTCTGAATGCGACAGGCGGACGCGTCTGATGTCTCCGAATCGACTTCTGTCATCACCAGCCCTGCCGCCCCGCTACAGGCCCGAGGTAGGTGCAGAAAACCGACAGCACTTTTGAGAATGACTCGAAGAATATAGAAGTTGTGCCGATCTAATTTTGGCAGCAGACCGAGTTCCGAGCGGCGGACGACGCCTCTGATGATTCTGACTGCGATAGGTGTGCTTACCAGCACTGTAGCTGCCCTTCATCTCGAATTAAGTACAAAATACTCACCACGCATATCAAGCCGACTCGAATAATACGAATAGGTTTGCGCACGTAGCTCGGCTAGCAGACCGAGTCCAGACCTATCGATTCAACAGGCGAACGCGCCTGATGATTCTGAGTGCGATAGGCGTGCTTACCAGCACTGTAGCGGCCCTACACCTCGAGTTAAGAAGAGAATACCAACGACGCGTATCAAGTTCACTCGAATAATACGAATAGGTTTGTAGAGCTAGCTCGGCTAGCAGACCGAGTTCAGACCTATGGAGTCAACAGGCGAATGCGCCTGATAATTCTGGGCGTGATAGGCGTGCTTACCAGCACTGTAGCTGCGCTACAGCTCGAATTAAGTAGAAAATACCGACAACGCGTATCAAGTTGACTCCAAGAATACGAATAGGTTTGCGGACCTAGCTCGGCTGACAGACCGAGTCCAGACCTCTGGATTCAACAGGCGAACGCGCCTGATGATTCTGAGTTCGATAGCTGTGCTTACCAGCTCTGTAGCTGTCCTCAAGCTCGAGTTAAGTACAAAATACCGACAGCGTGTATCAAGATGACTCGAAACGGCCGTTCCCGCCAGTGTGCTTTTTGGCCTTCAAAGTTACCCGATCGAGCTGAGATCAAGATGGCGAGCGGGAATAAGATCGAATATCACGGGAAAAAATACTAGAGCTCTAACGAATTGTCAAATTTCGAGAACAAAATTTTCAACTGAGCAAAAGTTGTGAAAAGTTCAGTTCTTTTTTTTCGAGCCAACTAGCTCTCCAGCGCGCCGGAATTACTCTTAGCTTCCAGCTATAACTAGCTAAGGGAAGCTCTACGAGTTAGTTATCACATTGTCCGCCTCCGCCGGGTGGGCCAACTGGCGCCGGCGGTAAACCGTCAACCTGGTTTTTGAGTTTGAGTCAGGGCGCGGACAGCTGTGACAGCTGAGCCCTAAGACTCCCAAACGGAGCACAGGGTAGCTGGAGAGGGCAACTCTTATCATCACACTGCCGAGCCACTGAGGCATAGGCAACGGAATAGGATGCAGGAACAAGGAAAAGGATGCAATACAACATGTGAAAATGTAAAGGTGTTGGAGAGCTCCAAGCAAGATGAAATGAGTCAGCTGCTTGGATGAAAGATGCTACCCAAAATGTGCTCCACGGCCATACAGAGCCGTTGTGCTGCAATCATCTCACAAAACATGACAGAAGCAGAGGCATCAAGCGAGACAGCTTCCTCCGCCACCAACTGCCACGTCCCGTGTACACACAAATCTATACACCATCCTGCAGCACATCCCTCCACAGAGCGACCTCCGTCGAAGAATCCACGGAGGCCGTCTAGTTTTGTTTTACTCGCATGTTCAATAAGTGAGGTATGGAACGTAACGTAACTATTTTTGGTTCTGGCCAACCATGTCAGCCTGTCAGCTCTTTCGTTTCCTTCTCGATAGATCCACTTGAACATATTGTGGCCCCAACTCGGAGGCCTCATACCATACAACACAGAGATATGCTCCAGCCTATTTTGAATGTCGCCAAGAATGTGCTTGTAGATAATATTGGATGTTGCCCAGAGACCGTTAATCCAATTCACCCCTGTGGCGGAGTCCCCAATCAATTCCATCGGTATCGAGTCCCGAGGCTCCGCATTCCACTCCGATGCATGTTCATTAATGTACGCAAGTCGTTTCTCCATCTTCTCGTCCTCCTTCCTTTGCTGCTCCTCCGTCTTCTCCCTCTCCTCCTCCTCCCTAGCATATCCCGCAGGTTGTGCATGTTTAAAGTAACAGTACCCCCACGCCTCCTCCATGTTAGTAACATCCAGTGCCCGCTTCAGAAATTCTTTCCATCCCTGACGTGAAAAGGATAACGTGTGATACCAATCCTTCCCTGATACCAACTCGAAAATGTAATGGAAGTTTCTCAACGCCAGTGGTCTCCCCCCCTCATGCCGACGCGTCATTAATGGGCGTTCTTTCCAAGGCAGCGATGCAATGAAGGCCTGCCGTCGGTCAGTCCACTCCCCCGACCATGCAAAAATACATTCTCTAGCCTGCATATGCGAGTCCCCTGTACTACGATGCTGAGGTGGAGCCACCCGTCGCCGCTTGTTTGCAGCGATTTCCTGCGACGGCAACTCAACAGAGGAACGCTTTTGCGACAGAGAATCCTGAGATGGATGGAATGTCTTTGCACGCTTATGCATCTGGGAAATCAGATTGCGCCGATGCGCGGGTAATTGTGTCTGAGAACCAGGGAGCTCAAAGGAATCAACAGCATGCATCGTCTCACACACGTCAGGATGACATCCCATTGATGTCGAGCACGCAATACTTGGTAGCACATACATGGGTTCATCCTGACGTTGTCTCTTGGCCGGCGGTGGCTCACACGCAGCAAAGACGTTGGGGCCAGGCTTGCCTGAAGAATCAAAAGTACCTGGAGGAATCTGTGCGGGTGTTGGGTTCAGGCGTTTCACAGTAAACGTACAGTCCTGAGCCCACTGCCACTGACGAAACAAGAATAGCTGCACAAGAGACGGCCGTCCCAATTCCAGGAGCATACGCCGCCCACGTTTGTACAAGTTGCATAAGTATATACTCCAATCCATGTCGGCAGGTTTCGGGCGGCGTACCATAGAACACAATATTTTACCTTCCCACGTGTGCAACTGTTTCAAAGTGTGGTGGTCCGCTGGCATGCCTTCAACACCGAAAAGTACAAAACTACGCAACCTAGATTCATAATGCTTGATTTTCTTCTGGAAGGGTACAGCACGATTCGTATAAAACTTGCGGAACTGGTTAAATCGCTTCCAACCCCGAGCCAATTTCCAAGCCACATCATGGTGTTTGTCAGTCTTGGTCGTGACCAGGCAACCCAGGCACTCCATTTCAGAGCATCGCGGAAGACACAGGGTACCGAGATCGTTCACCTGGACAACGAGGTTCCCCGTCGAGGCGCCTTCAGAGTCCTCCCCAAAGGCAAGATAGTGTAGTGAGGAATCTTTCCATCTGAAACCGTGCGTATACAGCTGAGCCGAGAAGTCCCCCACCATACGTGTGAGCTCAGTCTTTGATTTCGAGAAAAGCAAAATGTTATCGGCCCAGAGCGCATGAGTAAGATACCTCCCACCAGCCTCCACCCCCAAATCGTACCCCAACTTCTCCTCCTCCCAATTCAGTACAATCCTATCCCACATCAGTAGTGTCACACACTTCCACAGGAAGGGGGCCTCCACACTACCAGTACGTACACATGCATCCCAGGGAATACCCGTCGCCGTGGAGTCCTGAAAGGTAAAGTCCGCTGTGTCCAGGATACTGGGAGCGAGTAGCGCCAACGCAAGGTCATTGGGGAACCCAGGGATGGCATCCAAGGCCCGACTGGCCTTCTCAACCGTGACGTTATCAAAGGCAGTCTGCACATCTAATGACGCGAGGTGCAGGGTCTCATCTTTCCCCCACTCCAGAGCGTGTGTGGTGGCATGCTTAAGCATGGCAGTGATCTCGTGCGTGCGCCTTCCCTTGCAAAATCCGTAGTTATGTAGATATTGTGGGACCCTTTTCAGATAACCTTCAGCAATCTCAACCAAACATGAAGTATACCATTTGCTTAGGCTGCTAAGTAAGACGAGAGCACGAGTATCAGACAACTTAGTGATATCTTTAGCTTTCGGCATCAACACCACAAGCAACTCAGACCAAATCCGAGGAGTAGGATACCGTTGAAGATACAGGTCTTGGAATAACCGAAGAATATGACGCAAACCTACCCACGTGATACGTTTCAACATAGAAGGAGAAACTCCGTCCTTACCCACCGCCTTACCACACTTTAAGCGTGATCGTGCCTGTAACAATACGGACATGGAAATGGGGGAGACGTCCACTGTGTTCGTGTCCTGCAACCTCCTCCTCCTCCTCTCCTCGATACACTCCACGTTACGTATCCCTTGCGCAGCACAGTGGTACTTGGCGAACCCGTGAGCATAGAGCGCCTTCTCCCACAACTCCCTATCCTCCGTGAGCACATCGTCATAACTCAATTTGTCCACCACCGTCCGAGCGAGCTTCCCGTCACGATGATCGTATTCGAGTCGACGACGAGTGTGTGCACGCATCTCCTTCCTTCTCTCTTTCTTAACCCTGATGAGCTCCTCCTCCTCCCCTCCTTCACGACGCAGTCGGCGATATTCATCATCAAGTTCCTTATGACGATCTGTCTTTTTGGGGATCTGCATTTTCTTTGGGACATTGGTGTATGACTCCTTGTCCTGTGTACATGCATTCAAGATAACAGGAGCCAATTCATCCGGGCAGAGACCAGATGGGTAACGAGCTGCAGCATGCAAACGACGATCAAGGTTAGCCGAAACTTGCAATTCCGAGGCTTCGTCGCAGCACCAATGAGTGAACGTTTGTCGTGGCTTCGTTCTCCAACGTCGAGTCGGAGCGGCCGATTCGGGGACAAGCAAGGTGAGCAGGGCATGGTCCGACAGGCGGGTCTTTCTGGGGTCCACGGAGCCCCTGAGTGTTGGCCTTAACCACGACACCTCCCACTGAGGCCTTTCCCAGGAGCTCGGAATACACAGGTAATCAAGAACCTTGTCCTCCTCCTCCGTCTCCTCCCTGGCCTTCCAGGTCGTACGACGGGTCCCAAAAGAATTCGAGAAAACCAAATCATAATGCCACATACATTCACAGAGCTCGTCACACATGTATTGTTGCATCCTCCTCCTACCCTGCTGGAAACCTCCACGTCCACCTCCTCCTGCATTGTCCCCTTCTTCAAATCTCTCACCCTGCACTGCAGAACCAGTCAAAGCAACATCTCCAAATACCGTGTGAGGCAGAAGCTCAACGTTAGCATCCATCCCGATGAACAAGTCCCACCCTTCCTTGGGAAACCTAACTCGGAGCGTATCCAAATCCTTTCGAAACGACTGCAATGTTTGTGTGAATAAGATATTGTGATCCCCTTTTTTCGGCGCATGTGGTAAGTACAAGCTGGCAACAATCAACGATTGAAACACGAGAATGACATAACGATTACCCCTGATGCATTCACGTATGGAGGCTCTCCACACCCTCTTGTAGAGAACCCCGGCCTTCCCATCATTAGAAAGAGTTAAGGTGAAACCATGCTCAGAGCACCTACCTATTCCAAGGAACTGGCACTCCTGCAAAGCGAGAACTTCCGAATTCGAGGTCTTGATCTGAGCAAGCATGTCGTGGCTGTTCATGCTGCCACAGCGCCTCACGTTATACGTGCCCACGATGGCGCCATGGCACCTTCACCAGGTACGAAAGTTGAGCTTGGCCAGAAAGACCTCGCAATCCAACTTGTCATCGACCTTACGCAGCAGCTCGGCGTCAACCTTCCACCCCAAGTTAGGATCAAACACGGCAATGCATACTCCATCCGTCTTCGGCGTCGTGGCCGAAGGGTAGCCCCACACATAGCTGGCAGGAGGACCCATCTCACCCTTCAGCCACTGGGATCCACTCCTGAGAGTAGCAAAGATAGCTTGACAACGACCCACGGCAGAAACATGTGGCTGCTTCCAGGGTGCTGGTTCACAGGATACGCCGAGACGCTTGTTGGCCAGGATGGGAGTGACTTGCTTCAAGTCGTGCGTGTCATTCTCAAGCTCGACGGCCCAAGAGTTGCGTATCTCCCAAATTTCATCGTTCGTCAACTTGCCACTTATAACATAGAATCGTATACGATAAAGACCATATGGTTTATTTTTGTGCTCCCGCTCGATCCTACTCATGTCGAAATGCTCCTCAGTCATCTTTCCTGTGCCACGGACAAATTTACGAATGACAGGCAGGGCATGATCCCAGGAGAGCATATCCGATGAACGAGTCTTGAGATTGCCGACTCCACCTCGCGCCCAACCTGTGAGTTGGATGAAGGTCGGTGTAAAATCCTCCCGCACTCGATTCCATTCGCGAATTGGCGTACGATTACCATACCTGGGAGCAGTGGCCGTAGCAGAGGAGCCCGCAGGGCCCGCATAGTTACTCCAAGCATCCGTGGACCCTGATCCTGCATCACTGGGTGGACCCTTCTGCTGAAGCGAGCGGATCTGCTGCTGCATAGCAGCAATGTCAGCCTCATTCTTCTCACCACGCTGGTCGATCCGTTTCACATCCTGCTCAATCCGTGAAATTCTTTTCTTCTGAGTGTTCTGTTTAGCTAGCATAGCCTTCATCATAGCAAACTGTTGCTTCATAGGATTGCCGTCATCAAATTCGCCGAACTGCTCCTCCTCCTCACTGCTTGCCTGAATCATATCCTCATCCTCACCCACAGCCTTACTCTTCTTACAACAGGGCGCACCTGCTGGGTGTTGCTGAGACATCGCTGCGAAGGTGACGGTGTTCGAATACTTGAGCTCCTCTGGAAACCCCCACTGTTCCAAGAAATTGATGTCCTCACGCGAACGCTTAGAATCTGTCGTCGTGTCGAACAGATGTCCTCACAAGAGTGTTGAACAGATGTCAAACTCGACCTCCAAAGAGTGTGTACGGTACTCAGGCAAAAGACACTCTGCAGCACGCGTGCGGGAATCTGAGTCAAGCAAAGAATGAGTGTGTACGGTACTCGTAGGCTACCACAAGAATGTGCACAGGCCTTCGACACTCAATGAAAGCGCACGGTACTCCGACAATCTGAACAGTCAATGCGCACTCCGACAATCAATGAACGTGTACGGTACTCAGGCAAAACAGACACTGAAGCACCGTGTACAGTATGAGGAACCAAAGACTCCTTTCTGCACAATGCAGCTCGAGACGAGGGGGACCCCAGCGGTGAGGCCAGGCTGAGCAGGAGGTAAGCTCTGCCCAACCTTGGTTACCGCCGGGCACCTCGGGGACCTCGTAGAGCTCCTCGCACGTTTAAGAGAGCTCGAATGGAAGTAATCAACGTTCAAGAGTATTTGTTTGAGAAGCCAGAACATGCTTTCTGGCCTCAACATGACGTCAGACCCTGGAAGTCAGCCCGCGCAATGATACAATTACCGCTCTAGGAGACTCTGCACTGTCAGACGCGCAATGGTGGAATCCTCGGCGGCAAAATCTGGACTGCTCAAACGAAATGCGAAATATCGAACATGTTGAACAAAACCAGTCCCAGATTACCGCATTGCCTCTTCTGGTCGGGTCGATCAATAAGCTCCGGTCCGCACACGAATTCTTCTAGCTTTGGTCCCCATAGGATCTCTACGAGGCGTGGAGTCCAGTATCGTGGGCAGCCATTTTCTGATATTCAGATGCATATTCCAAATTGGAACATGAATTTGGGGCGTCGGAACAAGCGGCGCAACGTTGCACATGAAACCATGTAAGATACATCAGCATCTGCGCGACACGTGGTTGGTGATGATATGAACATACAAAAACAATCCGCCTATGCAAACCGGATGTCAAGATGTGCGACCGGGCCTTATCATGTCACACATGTTTACAAAAACTTTCAAATGAGTCCCGACGGAGACGCACGAGTGCTCTACGATGGGCACGCGCCCGCTCTCACTCGACATAATGCCCGCTAGGGTCTGTCGATGGACGTTGCCGTCCAGCCCCGCGCCCGCACATATTACTGCCCTTGGTATTCGAGTTTGTTCACGACGAACTCGCACGGCAAGACTGCTTCGGGAAGGAACGCAAGCCCTCAGAGCAAGCACTGCTTCACGAATGCGCGGGGAAAACTGCATGGGCAACACGGATGCCACAATCAACGCATCAGAGCATGTGCATGAACAACCATGCGTACGTCATCGCATGACATTACACTCAAATCGGAAAAGTTGAATGATACCGAAATTATGAAACGCTACATTCATTTTGGGCGTGCACACGTTTACGCACCGCGGTTCCCGCAGGACCCCGATCGTTCGACATGCCAAAAAGCACCTCACAGCTTGCAGCCAGCTAAAAGGAGAACTCATCACCCCCGTGCGCACTCTTGAAACACGCTAGAGCGAGCAGGCAACGCTTTGCAAGCTTCCTTCACGAAGCCGCTCAGCGCACGAGGACGGCCCATAGTTTTCAATATTGCAATCCCCTCGCAATAAAGAAAAAGCTGGAATTCCGGCAAATTGCGGCTCCTCCAAGCCATACCACGAATGCGACCGACGGCCTCCGCCGGGGGCATCTTGCTCATGCAAGCACGAATGAAGGTGTGAGCGTTAACACGGGCGGGCATTCTGCAATCCGCCAGCACACGCAGGAGTCAAATCACCGCAGTGCCTGTCGGTCGACGGGGGGGCTCGGCCCAAGAGCAACATGGCCACCAAGCCCCGATACCCATCAAGCATTGCATAATACCCACGACCCGTACAATCCAGTAGCCCTCATAGTAACATATCATACGACACTGCCCGAAGTTATCTCCTCCAAGCTCCCCCTCGCGGCTTCCCACGCTCAAAGCACTCTGTCCAATCCGAAGCAAATCGGGGCGCGTCAGAAAGGAAGTGTTTCGGGGGGAGGTGTTGGACTCAGGACCCCCTGCCGTATCCGGACACGAAGCGGACACAGAGGCGACTAAGATAAGCGCCAACGTCGTTTTGCCCGGTGCCACAGATCACTGAGTGGAGCCGCTCTCATATCCCTTCCACTCCACTCCTGCGCAATCCTCTTCGAAAATCCCAAACCCCAAACCTCTAAAATGCGCTGGCGCTTCTGGGACACATCCCAGGCTTGTCGCGCGACTTGCCCAACGGCCCGACAGGTGCAAGACGTCCCAAGCGAGTCCGAAGAGACCCCCGAGACGAACTCAGAGTGCCGCCAGACAGCCCACGGGGGTCCAAATCGGCCCAATTTCAGCTCAAGACCGCCACCAAGCTCCCCAGGCAAGCTTCAACAGCACCCGCCAGGATGGACTCCAGTGCGAAAATCCCAAAACGCCGTTTGGCATGTTCATCAGCGCGAAGGAGCTCGCGCTTTCTATACTCAGCGCGACCAAGAAAGTGCCACCAAGGAGAGCTCCACGACGGCCCAAGAGAGCCCAGTGACAACCAGGAGGCCCCGAGACAGCCCAGGAGGCCCCTAAAGAGGGCCCAAAAGAAGGGAACTCGAACTGGCCTTCGGGGCCCTCCCACGATATAACCTCGAAGAACCCCGCCACCCCCCACACGAAGCTCCCCAGGGCGCCCCACGAAGCACCAAGAGGCCTCCAAGTGACCCTTGGAGGTTACTAGCAAGCCTCAAAAGGACTTCCGAGAAACCCCACGAATCATTATCAACGCCCTTCGCCTGACCCACGACCCAGGCACGGTGGCAGGATGAACCGAACTCCACTAGATGGCATTCTGCCGCCGCTTATCTGGCCGACAGTGCTGCTGCGAAGCAGTACGAACAAGTAGCTATAGGGAGACCTACAAGTGTCCACTGGCAGCATGCTGCCGCTGTGAAAAACAGCATCTCCTCCCTGTAGGTGTTCACGCAGGAAGCAACTGACATATTGGACTCGCGTTGCGATGCAACGTGCTGAAGCCAACGCCACTGCCCAGCATAACGTAGAAGTCCCGACAGCCTTGCGGGGGTATCGAAATTCACATGTAAGCTTGGATTGAAAGGCTCGTTCGGACGAAGCTGCATCACGCAGTGCGACTGCTTCGTCTCTACGTCTATAATTTCTTCCTCGCCGGGCATAAGATGGGTTATATCCTCTGCGGACAGATGTGTCATGGATCGCTTATCAAGCACATACTGCCGTGCACAACACCTGCTCATTTTGACTTCCTCAGGCTTGCCACGTGGATCTTGAAAAAAACGCGCGGGCAAGCCAAGCGCCAGGACAGCCCCACCTCCAGCGCGCCCATAGCTGTCAGGGTGGAACGGGCAGTCTTTCTTGTGCGGGCTATGGCAAGAATAATCCCTCCAGCCTTCGGGGCGCGGTTGCTTCAACGGGCTAGTTCTTCCAACCCCCTTCTCGCCCTCCAGGGGCGGCCCAACATGATTCAAGATATCCTCCGAATTGCCCCCATGAGGCCCCAAGACTGCTCGAAGGCGACTCCGCGTGGCCACGGGAAATCTTTCACAACATCTCGTATTTTCAAACGCCGGTTGCATCCTCGCCTTGTCGCTTCTGATGGGCGGCTCCAAGATCGCCCCAGACAGCCCCGGGAGCCGCCCGGGAAGGCACCACGACGGCCCCAGGAGCGCACAAGAGCGCCGAAGAGCGCCCCAACATGACCCTGACAAACAAGTTAAAGGTTCCTGACGGGGTGCCACTAATTTCTCACGCTCCCTTCTTTCGTCGGCAGCCTCCAAGATGGCCACGAGAACGCCCCCGAAGCCCCCAAGAGGCCCCATGGGAACTCTAACAATGCCCATACTTAGCCCCAAGAGACCCCCAAAACATGTCCAAACATTCCTTTATTCCCAATGTGGCTCGAGGCGTATCAAGGTCTGCGCGCGGAAAAATTCAGGCTCCAAGAAGCTCCTCGATGTCTAGAAGGTCACCATCGTTGCCACCCTTGCTTCATTGTATGCCCACTCATGCCATTATTCCGTACAACTCCCGTGGGCATGATTTCTGGATGAGCTGAGCTGGTGAGGATACGCGAAGCGTAAAGAATAACAGACAGAGCTGGCTCCACATATTGCCGCGTGCCGGTCCCAATCCGCCGCCCCTCCGCAATGAGCAAACGAGCAGTTTGACTGCGCGGTTGCAGACATGAAAACATACGCATACGAGCAGGAGAAGGCAGTGAAGCGCTCGTGCTGAGACGCACGAAACGCCACCGAGCGCCAAGGGCAAAACTCGGCGCGCCACCTCGCGAGAACAAAACACATGGAAGACGTCCCAAGACGGAACCAGAAAGACCCCCGGAATGGCTCCTGCAAGAAAATCATGTTATGCCAATGCGTTTTTGGAGCTCGCTGGATGACATGAAAATGTCAAGCCTCCGGCCGCCCGAGACATACCAAGAACCCCCCAAGATCGCCCTGGGAAGGCTCATAAAATCTCCAAGAGGTCCCTAAGACGGCCCATCCGAAATAGTCAGCGCGAACCACAGGACATCCCAGACACCCCCTGAGGCCCCTAAGAGACCCAGGGAAGCCCTCAGAGGCCACCACGAAGCTTCCAGGAGATCCCAAGAAGACCCCAGACGCCCCCAAGGGGTCTCCTTTGCCCCCCTTTCCTCCTCCTTCTCCTCCTCTTCCTCCTCCTCCTCCTTATCCTCCCCCTCCTCGCCCTCCTCACCGTCTACCTCGTCCTCGTCATTATCCCGCTTCTCCTGCCCCCCCCCCCCCCTCCTCCCCCTCCTCCTTCTGCCCCTCCCCGCCCCCCTCTTCCTCCTTATCGCCCTGTCTATCCTCAACTCTACCTTATCTCTATCATCCCCTATTCCGGTTCCAACTCATCCTTCTTCAGTCGATGCCCTCATTCCCTCCCCCATCCCCTTTCCTCCCGCCGCGACACCCCAAACCAAGACACCGCAGCCGCGCGGCAGCTGAATAGCTGCGCATGCGCAACTAAATGCACCCT